GGGGGGGGGGAGGGGGGCAGCTGAGGGAGAAGCCCTCGCGGCGTAAAAAGTCACGCAAACGCAGAGTACGCAGGCAGAATGAGTCCGAGGAGAGTGATATGATATGGTTGGTCCATCCGAAAAGATGGCGTGGGCGGTTGATGGCACACTAGCACAGTTACATACATCACACCGCTCGCTCATGACACTGGCGGGTCGGGAGCAGAGAGCCGGCCGGACAGTCAGGTGGACAGACGGACGGACCTGCCGGAGGCGGCGGCGGGTGGGCCGGGGGGCCGCGTGGACCGCGGGCCCATGGCGCGCGGGGCCCCCGGGACCAGGCTGCCCTGGCGCGGCGACGCGCTGCGGCGGCCGTGGAGGCGGCGGCGGCGGCCGCGAGCGCCAGTCGGTGGCAAACACATGTACCCGCAGCAGGTGCCGGCCGGGTACCGAGTGCGACGCGCGCGCACCTCAGCGCGATCCTGGTGACCGGGAGGCGTTTCCGCCGAAGTGTCTCCGTGACATTCGCGCTTGCACCGTGGTTGACACACTTTGTGGTATCGTTGTGACCGCGGCAGTCAGTAACGGTCGCGGTGTTTTGTCGCCCGCGTGAGGCGAGGCGGGTCCGTGTGCGGGACCGTGGACTGCACCTGCACGATGAACAACCACCACGCGGCCGGCGCCGGGGCGGGCCAGCACGCCGCCGCCCCCGCCGTGCCCCCGCGGCTCTCGGGGGAGCGGCGCAACTCGGCCGCCAAGTGGTCGCTGTCGACCATCGCCGAGGCTGACCGGGCCGCCATCCTGGGCCGCAAGAAGTGGCCCCAGCACGTCGCCGCGCTGTCTGGTGAGCGGGTGTGTGGGGTAGGACTACTAGCGGGTGAGGGTGGGTGACACTTCTCAGGTGACGTGGGGGTTGCGCCCTTCCGAAAACGACATTTACACCCCAAACATTTAGATTTTCTGATGACATTTTTTGTGGTTTTGTTGGTCTGTAATTTTTCAATGGTAGATTGCGTGTAATCATCGATGATCTCGCTCACCCCTGTTTCTGGCCGGGTAGCGATCACACTCGCCAGCTGTGTTAGTCCCTGTATTTGCTCTTCGTCGTCGCCCCTGACCGGGGTCCCAGACCGCGCGGCCGCACCGGGCTGCAGACACACAAGGGGCCGCGGGGTGCTCGAGGACGGGGCGGGTTAAGTAAGCTGATCACTGTTCAACAGTCTCATGGTTCAACTCCGCCGGGCATTGCGCGCGGGTTTCGTCGCATAGGCAGTCGATGAAAGGGAGCATAACACTTATCAGTGGCACATAACGTTTTTCCAATGAAAAATGTAATAAGTTTCCAGTACAGGCGGAATACAAGCAAATAATATGGTGCACCAAATCGCTTAAATCGTCAAAAAACACCCTAATAGACGAAGTTTCTCCTTAATCACCTTTGACCCTTGACCCCGCGGAGGACAGAGAGCAACATTGTATCCCAAACCACTGCTAAAGGATTACCGGGGATGTGGCGAGTGGCTACGCCGCAGCCGCCGTTGAATAACGCGCTGGTATACATCAACAATAAAGGAAGAACTACAATTGAGTGTGATTCACTCTCTGTCCGTCTCACTCGCTCCGCAGCCAGGACCCGGAGCCCGGGCAGCGCTCTCACTTGCACTCATTACGCAACGGGAGATAATCGCAGGCCCCCGCGACTCGGACTGGGCTCGGCTCATTTCCAACGCTAATAGAGATCAGGCGGATACTTATTCTTCCAGTTCCATAAAGTAACTTGCTGGAACTGGAACCCTCCTGGCCAGACTAACATTTGCGTGCTATTTTTTTGTGAGTGTGTTCTTGGTTTTCAAAGAGCATCATCATCGGGCTGGCCTTTACACACACCAGCTGATCAACTTAAATTTGACCTCACGTCGCTGAGCGTGGGCATGAGGCCAAAGAGGGAGGTTCATTAATTCTTATCACTTTTTTTCACCCTCTCCAAGAAGAGGTTGCCGGGGAGACTTTGCGGCAGCGTGTATAGGCCCGGTGGATGGCCGTGAAAATCCTCACCTGAGGCGCACACACTCAGCAGCGCACACACAGCGCCCGGTTTGCGAGAGGTGCGCCTTTTCCAGCAGGATGACGGGAAATTCATTGTTATGCGCGTCCAAGTCGTATTAAAACACCGGAAGGGTTTTTGATGCGTGGCAATCGAGAATAAAGCAATGTTGGGGGGCAGGGGAGCGAGGTGAGGGGGGGGGGTAAAGGTTATTCCGTTCATTGCCTCTTTCCCACGGGTATCATCCCGCCGCCGGCTTCCCCCGCATCCGGGCGGCTGGGAGCAGCGCGTCGCTGTGCGGCCGAGGCGTCATATTGACGTCTTCGCGCTCATGCAACTTTGACGAAACAGTCGACGTTAAGGGATGACACTAATATGACCTACCTCATGCTCATGTTGACGGGGTCCCACGCGCGCGTGCACATGTGACACACACCGCGAAGCCGCCGCAGTCCGAATAATGGTCCAGTGTGGTCACGTGACAGAGTCGCGACGTCACACAGCTTCCCATTTTCCGTCCGTGAACTAGATCCCGACCGCGCAGCGGCACATCAGTCCCGCGCCCCGCGCCGAGATACGTCCGGGAATCTGGAAAAAAACATATATAAATTCGCGGGAACCGCGTGCTTTTGATCGCGCGGGAGGTATTGTATCCGCATGTTTACTTTGCACCTGCATGCATTCTCGCTCGTGGCCTTTGCCGCCCGCCGGCTTGCCGGTAAATATTTTTATCGAGTAAAGCATTTAAAAAGCTGAAGGAAGCGTTCAACCGGGCGCGAGGTCAGTGAAATTATACCGTCTTGTGACTAAAGACCCATCCTTCGCCTGCCCTCTCCCCTCTCCCCCTCCTCCCCATCTCCCGCTCTATAATCCTCTCTTTCCTTTTTTTGGTTTGAAAAATCTGAGAAAGCGTCCTTGTGATTTTTGATTAATCGCATAGCCGGAGCCGGGCCCTAGAGGGACGACCGGTTCAGGTTTACGGGATGGGCTAGCGTGTGCTTATCAGCCATGTGTGAGTGTGAGTTGGTGAGTGTGTGTGTGTGTGTGTACGTGTGTGAAAGGCAGGTATTACCGCCGTGAGTTTGTCCTTCAGTTGATTTGCCCGGTCATCCCGACCCATCTCCTCTGTGGCCCGGTCCCGGCTCCCAGTCTACTCCCGTCGCCAGCCTCGCACGGAGCGGCAGAGAGGTGATCCGCGCCAAATGATAATTTTTCCACCGACGGATATAACTGCGGAGCAGGATCACGACACACGTTGTGGCCGTCCGGCCCGCTGCGAACGGAGGCTCTCCCGGCTCTCCCTCCCCGTAACAGATTCTGCGCGTTTTAATTTTCACGCACCACCTCTGCCCCCAAACGGCCGCATGGGTACCTCACCAATCTCACCCACCACACCACCATACTCATCCTGCACAAAGTAAAGTCCCACTTTACTTCCGCTGCAAAACGGTCGTAAGGTGACGGCTTGGCGCGGCCAGGCGCGACCGCAGCAGCTCTGTGGAGCTCTCCGCCCCCGCCGCCGTAAACGACGGCACAGCACTTCAGCCACTCCCCCCCCCCCGCCGCCTTTTCAGGTGTAATGGAGATAACACCATATGACACCTTGAGCAGTGCGGTGGCCCCTGCGGTCCGCCGGCCTTCGACCCTACATGACCCCCACCTTGCGAGATGAGTAAGCCCCCCAAATCAAACCTCACACGGGCGGATAATTTGGAACGAAAAATACAAAGGAGGCATCTCAGAATTCCCATCTGTAAGAACGTCTCCTCCTGCTGCCTCACAGAGGTGGATGATCCGGCCGGCGGTCGGAACGTTGTTATTGTATTATTGCGGTGCATGCCCCCCCCCCCCCCCCCAC